GCCGTCAACACCACAGGCCTAGCAACAGCAAGAGCCAACCTGTCCCGTGGAATCAGGGAGGCAAAACGCCAATATAGCAAGAAAATATCTGGACACTTCAGCAACACCAGAGATGCACAAAGTCTCTGGAGGGGCATCCAAACCCTCACAGGCTATAAACCCCCACCTTGGAACTGTGATAGTGACATCTCTCTGCAGAACAGCCTCAATGACTTCTTTGGCCACTTTGAAACACAGAACAACACACCAGCACAGAAGTGTTTTTAAGTTGATTTGTTTGTGGTAGATCACAAAAAAGTATTGATCTGTTGGAGAGGTGAATTTAGCCTAAGGGCCACTATTTACCTACCACTAGCTATGCTCATTATGAGATAGGTGATAATTTGAATGAAAATCCAGAATAAATGAGCCAAAATAAACTGATAATCTTCTGATTAATTTTGTACTTTTTTGTTTCAGTGAACTTTTAAAATCGGGGGAAATTTCCAATCTGGCTTTGGAAAACAACACAGCACAGAGACTGCTCTGATTGAGGTGTTATCCAGTACTGAGTCAGGTAAAACATCAGTTTTGGTGCTGCTTAGTCTCAGTGCAGCCTTTGATACTGAAAGATATCACCCAGTTCTTCTAACCAGGAACTCAGAGAGACGAGGCGGACCACTTGGATATATAAAAAATAACCGTGCTGGTTTATTCAAAGGATCACAGGTAAAATTAACATTACACATCCAGGCATCTTCCACCCCCAAACCTGCGCGCAGGCAGCATGGAGGATAAAAGACCCTGAACCCTCATGCCTATACAATTTTATCCCTTGGTTGGGCTAGCCCATGCTACACAGGAACGTCAACCGTGAAGTCACCTGATATGCCAGCTTCACAGCTGGCCGTAGCAGTAGTCAAAACATGGAGAGAATCAATGTGTGTGTGAGTGTTGATCATGTGGTGTGTATCTAAAAACATACAGGACGTTCAGGGACATGTCCGGACATTAAGCCTCGGAAGATATTATGATTAAGATTACGGCTGAACATATCATGCTACTAGC